AAATGGAGGTTGGTAAATACCCCCCCCCCCCCGTCTCCTTCCCCAATGCACATGTGTATTAATTAGAGCAGTACCTCTAATTTGTTCAGCTTCTTCTCCAGCGCGTTGCGGTCGAGAGGTTCCGAAGTGTCGGTCACTTCTGCAAAGCTCTTCTTCGTCGTGTCGAGCCACTCGGTAAAGGACACGCAAAGGTTTTCAGCCTCTTTGATACACTTGAGCTCCTCTTGCAATTGCTTGACGGTCTCCTGGCATAGCGTAAATGGAAAAAAGCAGGTCGAAACAGTTGCGTCATTGTTTTGGCGTCCTTATCATCAATTCATTTTCATGCATGAATCCATCATCACTATTTATTTGGATATGTTGCTCGACTTATTTCCCATGTGATCGGCAACAGCCTTCAGGTTGTTTCTGATAGCGTTGGGAAAGCTCAAAGGCCTCGCTCCTCTTTTAAAGTTGCACCCCCTAGCAGGCTTGAATCACCGAGGACCAAAAGCTCTGTGAACAGCCATCAAAACAGAAAATACTCATTTCCCCACCTACCCTGTTTTATCTGCACAAGGGAGGTGGTGTGGGGGTGGGTGAGGTGTGGAGGTGGAAAAATCCTGTGGTGAGGAGCTCCAATTAGCTGAGATCGCTGAGTGCACACCTTTGATGAGAGGGGAGGTAACAGCCCCTCACCGCCTCCTACTTCACATGGCATAATTGTAAAGGAGCGTAACATCAAAGGGGATGGTATGTGTGTGCGGGTGTGGGTGAAGCCAATTTTAGCCGCCCCAACTTTTGGAAATGGTTGTCACTGAAGGTGTAAAAATCAATGAGGTGCGTGGATAGCTTTTCCACTCCTGGTGCCGGGTGTGATATTGTCTCATTGGGCGCACAATAGAGCTAGCCACATTGATTTTTCTTTCAAAAACCCCCCGCCCCAAAAAAAAATGGAGGAGACAACAAACGGAGAGGCTGGATCAAACGATGGGGACTACTTCAATGGTTCACTGCTGAAACAAACATCCAAACACTCGATGGAATAAAGTCCATGGTGGAAGCATCAAAAGCTTTTTTTTTTTTTTAATACAAAGCACACATTGTAAATCCCTTTCCGAAAATACACAGGAATGGATCAACCCGAGCTCATTGAAATCTCAATGATAATTTCTTAATTAGCTGGATGTTATTTATCTGTAGTCATTATTTATCTGTGTGTGTGTGTGTGTGTGTGTGTGTGTGTGTGTGTGTGTGTTGCTTGAACACATTTGCGAGGCGACCGGCGATTCCAAGGACCTGTATGCCGAGCAGCAGGGAGTGGTAGCGTTCAGTGAGTCGGGTTGCCGTGGCGCTGACGCGACCGCTGATGTCGGTTTCTTGCAGAGCTTGCTGGGCCACGGAGGAGAGGCCGTCCACTTCGCTTTGGCGTGCCAGCACCGTTTCAAGACCCAGCTGTTCACGAGCAACACAGAGAAGAATATAATATAAACGAGGGACATGTGAATGAGGACTTTGTTTTTTTTCTTGTTTGGACGCGGGTACCTTGAGTTTCTTCAGCTGAGCCTCCTTCGTGGTTCTGTCTGACTTCCGGTGCGGCCTCAAGCCGGCCTCCTTCTCCATGTCCTCAAGCCAGCGAGCCAAACTGAGGAAGGTCCGGCCCATCTCTCTCACTCTGGTCAGGGTGGAGTTCAACTGCGCCTGAGTCTCTGCCAGCTGGGCCCGGTAGCCCCCCCACTCCTGCTGCGCTGTGTCAAGGGCTCTGTCCTCGATCTGGGGTACGCCCCAAGGAATGACCCGCTCTCTGCTGCTCAGCACGGAAGACAGCAGCGATTGGCCGTCCGAGCAGCGCTGCTGTAGAATCTTTTGAGAAACAGAAGTGAGAGTGAATACGGTGCCCCCCCCGCCCGTAATGCAGTTTAACGACTTTCAGTTTGATGACCTGAAGTTGTTCCAGTGTTTCCTCAAGTGTATCCACGTTACCCTCTGGATGGGACAACGATGCCAGAGTGGATTGCTCCTGCTCCAGCCAATCTTCGAACACATGTAGCCCTCGCTGATACTCCTGGTGGGTTAGCACTAGCCCCTTGGCCTTATTGACTGCGTTCTTGTGAAATAAACCAACAAAAATAAGCGATGATCATTCCGAAACACAAAAGCAGAGCAAAGCAAAACGCCGTGACATACCTTGGCCTTTTCTTGCAGGGTGCTATATCTACTCTGGAGCTGCTTCACTTCATGCCCGGTATTGCAGTGTTCAGCCATGTTGGCCCCTTTTGATGCGATCGTCTCCAGGGGACAACTGTGACTCAGCACTTCTTCAAACAAAAGCTGGAATGAAAACACACGCACATGTTCATTGTGGGGAGAAACTTTTGGTTTCACTTCCAAATTTTAAAATGTTCATGCATGCGTTGTACCTTGGTCTTTCCCAGGTTTGCGGTCTTGTCTCTCATCTCTGCATACTGTCTATCCGAGCAGCTCAGTGTTTCCTCGACGCGGTCCATCCAGAGCACAAACTGACCCACATCCTCCTGATAGCTGGTCCACTGTGACAAGGCGCCCTCCAGCTGGCTGTTCATGCCGAAAGGCGATGTTAACTCACGAGCGTAAACACAAATTCAAGGACAGTGAACCAGCTTTCACATGCACCTACTAAAGGGGAAAACCTTTACAGTATGATATATGGAGAGACTATGTCATTTTTATATTTATTTAAATTTTTTTTTAAGTATCCCTTTGGGATGCTTTCAATACTTTTTAACACACTAAACATAAGAGCACACAAATTTGCAAGCATAAAATGTAAAGAAAATACATTGCTGTGGTGTCTGTGTGTGTCTTTAAGAGGCGGGGCTCTGTGTGTCTGTGGCGTTAGCTACGGCCAAGAGCAGCGCCTGCGTGAGTGTTCCAAGTTAATATGTAATATACTATTCTAACCTGCTGAAAAGCATAAGTGGCTCTCCTTTCCCACATGCAAAGGCATTGCACTAATGAAATTGTAAAAGGCAGGAGAAATGATCGATAAAACAAGATGCAAAGGCGATGTCAAACTAGCAGACTGGCTCACAACCTTTTGCATTTGATGGAGGAAGACAACAGGGAGTCCCACGAGTCCTTGAGATCTTGGATCTGTTTCCGGATGACCGGGACGCCCTCGGCCGACGTGTTTCGCTGAACGGCTTCCCCCCTGGTAAGCAGCATCTTTAGTTGGATCTCCCGCTCTTGGCGGGCAGCAAGCAAAGCCTGCGCACATGGAGCGACAATTAACTCGAATGGCAGCTTTCGTAACCACTTCAGGTTTTCGACTTGCCCTCATCGTAGTTTCTTCGCTTCCTGCTTACCTCCAGCTGTACCATTCGGTCCTCCAGCACGGCTTTATCGGAGGTGGTGGAAGTGCAAGTGGTGAGGACAATCTGGGCCTCGCGCACCCATTCCTGGAGCTCTTTAAGACCCTGAGAGAAGAGGCGATGCTCCCCGACCACACGCTCGATCCTGGAGGCCTTGTCCTGCACAAAAATAGACAGGGAGCAGAATCACAGCAAGTGAGTATCTAGACAGCACAGGACACTATACAAGAAAAGCAACTTAACGTCACACTGCAGTTGTGTTGGTGTTTCTTCTCCAATACATTTTGTCACAAGTCGTCTTCCATACATATTTAATGTCCACATAATTTTATAGAGCAGCAAGGCAGAACTGCAACGCTAATCGACAGTTTCAAAGAATTCCTCGAAAGGAAGATGACCCATTTAAAAAAAAAAAAAAAAAAGGCTTTCCGGTAGTCTAGTGATTCAATGGCAATAAATCTTCTGAAAACGCTTTGCCTGTCCCCACTGACAACCACATATGATACAATGGATCCGTTTAATGAGGACGTGAAAAAGGTCAGCTGCTGCTGCACTGCCACGTTTCGCACATTTGACATTTTTGGATGAAGCTAACACAGCATTTGCCCTTTCGTGTGCTGATAAGGCTCGTAGGTATGACGAGGACCGTTTTCGGAATGCAGAGACAAACGAGAAAAATGGCAAGAAATGAGCCAACGTTTTTTTACCTTGGTCAAGTTGCAGAGAGCCAAGTACTGCGCGGACAGCTGAGACACTCGATGGAGGAAGCCCTTGCCCGCCGCCTGACCTTCCCAGAGACCGTGAGCTCTTTCCCTGAGGCGGCCCAGTTCCGTATCCCGAGTGGCCATCTCTTCCAGGACACTCTGGTGGTCCAGTTCGAAGGAGCGTTAAAGGAGCACACAGAAGACAATGTGTCAGATATGCATAACCAGCCATTTTTTTTTTTTTGATAGCGCTGGTGCTCATTTGGGTTGCGGGTGAGCTGGAGCCTATCCCAGCTGTCTGGTAAACTGCTTATACTTGAGGTGCAATTGGTTGCTGGGCCAGAAAAAAACGGCGACAGAGTCAATACGCAGAAATATCAACAGTGATGAGGCAGAGCTTTGCGATGGGCTTGATGTATTTCCCCCTCCATTGTCAGTTTTGTCTTTTTATGCGCCCGTCAATGTTCTACCCCCGCCCCCCCACCCCCACCACCACCACCTCACACACTTTTTATTTTTTTGTCTCTGCCAGACATGACAGATTCTGTTATCGCATGCAAGGAAAAAAAAAAGGCTTTTGACAGAAGGGGATCTAATTAGATTCCCCCGACTTTGCCTTTGACTATTATGTCAAGCCGCTGCTCTATTTTGATCCACTGGTGCTCAACAAATATAATTAGGTCTTCTCCCCCCACCCCACCATCTGATTTCAGATTACACTTTAGGGAGCCTTATCTGATGGGGAGCTACGAGTAGTTTGGTGCCCTTGAAAAATCAGCTGATCCATTTAGGGGATTACAAGGAAAAAACAGACGTTCAAAAATAGTATCTGAGCGATCGTGTTGAAGGGATTTTGACATTTTTGTTGCTCTTAAAATGCAGTGCACCTTTAAATTCGGTCTACCTGAGGTATAAGAACTGTTTCGCGATCACTTTGTGGTATATTTCCAGTTTAAACTATTAATCTAGGCCCGTGTAGACAGGGTACAGCAACACAAAAAATTCTAACAACAATATCGGGCATCAAACATGACATATTTGAAATCGGAGGCGCTCGATAATTACCTGCAGTTTGCCAAGCTCTTGTTTCTTGGCCGAGAGGTCGTGTAGTCGAGCGCTGCTCTCCTGAACTCTGACCTCAGCGCTATTCAACCATTCCTGCAGTGGCTCGGCACTGGCCTCGAACTCCGTCATCTGACACCGCAAGCTCTAGACGGGCATTCAGTCGATCAAAACGTGACAACAAAGCGTTTGCCGCAAATGCGGGCGACTCAAATGAAAAGCAAACAACAGCAATGGAATGAGAAGAAAAAAAAAACACAGCCCTCCCCACCCCCCCACAAACAAAGCCTTTGTTGTAACAATATGACAAGAAGATAAAGAAGAGCAAAATGTCACGTAGTGATCATTGTTGCGCCTTGTTTACTTTCGTGCGTTCCCGTTTATTGATGACATTTTGTTTTATTGTTATTGATTTATAGTATGGGGGGGGGGGGAGATGCTAATTGTATTTTCCGGTGCCACCCGGTAGTTTTTTTTTTTTTTTTTTAATTTTCCGATAGCGAGAGGCCCTGTACTGTCATTTAATTTAAGCCGTGCGCTGCTGTAAAGGCCAGTCGATGTGAGTGCACGTCTTACTTTGGGCGTGCATGTCTGTGCGTGGGTCTATTAACGTTTGGCTTTTATTGAAGAAACCACTTGTGTATGGAAAAAGTCTCGATAAATAAAGTTTGACTGACGGAATTTATTGGGTGAAGCGAATAATGGTACGACATCACAATATTTAGACACATGATCTCGTACGGGACTACAGGGAATATTTGAGTATTTCAGTTTAAAAAGAGATACTGAAATTCTATTGATGTACTAAGGGAAACATGTTGTGATGTTTATTGATTATTATCGGATGATAGGAGCTAAGAGTTGATAAACTCCGGATTTTTTTTTTTTTCCTGGGATCACAAACTGTGGAACACTCAACTGAATCTGAGGTGGGAAGACAAGGCAACTAAAGTGAACTTGACCATCTGGTGGAAACGCGGCGTAATAATTGCTAACAAAAGCTAACGAGGAAAAAAACAAAAAAACACCTTGAGCGCGTCCTCCCTCAGCTGAAGGTTATTCATCAAGCTCCTCCAGTCCTCTCTGGCGTTTGCCGCTTTGGCCTTGATCCCCTCAACTCGCTCTTTGGACACCACCGCCATGAGCAGCTCCCCGCTGGCTCCCACTGTACTCAGTCTGGCCTGGCCGTGCTCCCTGTCACTCAAGAACTCCTTGAGGGGGGGGGACAGCAAACACAGACAAAAGGAGCTGTTGAATACACACACCTACAATGTGGTTAAAAAGTGTCCTCGACTCATTCACTAGGCAAGCGTGTGACGGACAGGCTGTTTTGTCTCCAAGTCTCACGTTACATTTTCAGATGCGGCAATTAGTCAAGAGTCATTACGGATTCCTTATGCGTGGGCACAAGGCGGGGCTTGACCGGCGTAGGCGGATAAGACAAGTCAAGTGTTCTTTATTTATTTATTTATTTAACATACTGTAGCTCCTCCATGCACGCGCATACACAAAACAACCCTCCCTCGGAGCTCAGACGATGACAGTAGCGCAGCAGGGACCACTCCACCATCTGTGCTGTGAGCGCATCGCACACACATACATACATACACACACCCCGGCTTGTTTTTGTCTCCAAACTTCTCGCTTTTTTTTTTTTTATCTCCCTCCACCCCTTGCCAGAGTAAGTGTACACCACCAATTAAGTGAGGCTGATGCAGCGCGGATATCTTCCCCCAAACGCCCCCCCACCAGCCGTCGTCCTCACCCCTCCCACGCCGTCCCTCCTGGAGGTCAGCCATGTGGAAATATTGTTCCACATTCCTCACCAGGTCAATGATAAATAAAACATGGCTCTCTCTTTCTCCACCGCCATACAATCGGTCACATTCCCTCTCATCCTGACAAAAGCAACTTCCGAAGGAACGCCCTTCTTTGAAAACCTTGGTGACAATGGGGGACAAAAATAGAATAAAGCGCAGATCTGAATTGGCTTTTTCTGTTTTCGTCACGTGACTTGTCTGATAAGAAATGCCTCCAACACTAGCTTTCTTGTTGTGACAGCCACAGGAAGGTAATTAGGAGGAAAGTAATAACTGAGGATGGCGGGACATCTACTTTCACAGACAACCACCTGCCTCTTAGCCGGGGGCCCTGGAGTGCTCCAGAAAGGCGGCCAGGATGTTGACACCTGCTAGCTTAGCTTCTGGGAGGAAAAACCCTAGAGGAGGACGCTAACAGAGGAGCCCCCCCAGACCTTCGCGGAAAAAAAAGAAAAAAAAAAAGAGCACCCCTCTCGGCCATGTGGATATTGTTTCAAGCTCAAAACAAAAAGACAAACATTTCGGTCACATTTTTACGGTACTTTGTTATTTTGTAGCTATGTAATGACTGTGTTTCATTTTAGTAATATGCTTTATTTTTATTTTAGTTTATTTTTTCAATAGGACTGTGCATATTCACGTATGTGCAAAGCTTTGCCGTAAACATCCTAGATGTTGCCTAATGCTAATTTGCAACTATAGTCATCCTATGGCGGGTCTTAAAAACAAAAATGGATGTAAACGATATGTCTTACTTGTATTCTTTGCAGGGCGGCGGAGGCCTCTGCCACACTCTGCGGCGCATCGAAGCATTTGGCGGTGCAGATCTTCGCGTTGACCAGCCACTGCTGAAAGTCTCGCAGGGCGGCACGGAAGCGTTGCTCCAACAGCCGTTCTTTATTTTGGCACTCCCTGGATGCGCGGAGACTGAGACTGCAGCACCAAAAGAGGAAAAGGCGACGAAGAGATGGTGAGACACTGTAACATACCGTACTGTCTTGACATGACAAACGAAGGGATGGTGTGGCTGCGAGATGAGAAACACGCAGGTGGAGAGACGGAAAAGTGGGTGAAGTGGAAGCAATGGGGTAAAGAGACAGAACGGGGGGGGGATGGGGAACTGGGGGTACGGCATCAGTTGAGAGGCGACATATGAGCGGGGCAAGAGTTCACGCGGGTGATAATATGAGGGATGACAGCTTGATGCTGCGAGGGAAAGGGTGATGTAAAGACAAGATGACAGGGATATTTAGCAGAACGCCGACTGTATGATTAAATGAGAGAGGCTGAGATGCAGTCCTTCGATGGAACATCAACTGGCACTTTGAACTGGGGAGCACTGCTGCTTCTTTTCATGTTCCACACGCACTGGCCACATTATTAGGCACGTGTTCTATTTATAGCCATCCAGACCATCTTGACGCCAAACGGGTGGCACACGATTATTTTATGAGCAGTGAATAGCCGTCCATAGAAGTTCTTGAATATCCATATTAAAGTACTGGTTTGAAATGCTTAGCAGCCTCATTAGCATAAATAACAGCAAAGAGGCACAAATGCCAAAACAACCAGAGCGAACAAGCACAGGTGAGGCGACATGTCGCTTAGCAACTGGTGGCTCTGTCAACATTGCCCTTCATCAGCTTGACACCTGTCATGTTTTAAGATGGCCACACACAATCGTCGAAATGAAATAAGATTGCACAAACATTGATTGCACAGTTCTCATCGGGCGCCGCAAGCTCTCACAATGTGTCGTCCTCCCCCCAAGAGTGAATGAATGGGGAAAAAAAAAATCTATTCTAAAGAGAGTAACAAACAGGCAAAGTAGAGCTCAATGTGAGACTCACTGCAGTTTGTTAGGTTTTAATTCTGTCTTAAGTGTTCACAATGCAATCAATCAACAATTGTGAAGTGGCGCCATGTAACTTTTTGGTACCATTTTGAGAAAAATGCTTTTGCCCAAAGTCATTATTTCGTCATGATTTAGCAGTCTGTTGAATTTCCAGTGTAGTGATACACATTAACACATACGTTAACTTCCACGCCTAATTCTTGGAAGCGCAATGCGCTCGGATTGAAAAAAACTCACCTGTTGTGTTGCTTGATGACAGCCGTGACGTGCTCCGACTGCGAGCCCAAGTCTCTGGAGTACTGCACCAGTTCGTTCAGTTGACCCTTCAACTTCTCTGCCATTGGCTCGACGCTTTGCAGGCCCTCCAGTACGTCCTGAACGACACAAAACGTAGCCCGGCTGGCTCAGTGCGTGCGTGTTTGCGCATGACACCGATCAGTAAGTGCCTTCACAATCGCATTCCTGTTCACGCCAGAGCTCGAGCCACACACTCGTACTCACAGTCAGGCATGTACAAAAGCATGTCTGTTTCTTCAAGGCGCGAGGCAGAGGCAGGAAGGAGGTGAGCGCAATCTCTTCCCGCTCTCCTCAGCGCGCCTCACACGCTGCCATCGGTCGATCATAAAATCCTGTCCCGTGAAATATGTGTTGCCTCCCTCGCTCAATGACGTATAACCAATAAACATCTCGCCCTCCCCTCCCTCGCTTGCTTTTCCTCCTCCTCACGCAGTCTCTCTCACGCACTCTCCCAGAGGAATTCAGCTGTCAGCCGGCGCAGATGCGGGACTGCCTCAAGAAAAAGCACACAGGAAACGGGAGGGAGGTTGGAGGAGGAGAGAACGTCGGAGGGGCTGACTCCTCCTCTGCGCCGTGCTTTGGACAGCATGGCCGAAGAGGCTCGGGGGGCAGCGCAAAAGCTGATGTTAAGACAGCGCTGGTAAGGGAGAAGTCAAATCGCAAACATCCGGAAAGAGGCAGAGCAATGCTGGGAGGGACGCGAAAGCTCAAAGGAAGTCATCACCGCACACGTCAGTTCGAACAAGTGAGGGGAATCAAATCGGCGACTTGCCTCCAAAACAACGCATCCAAATTGAATCCTACGGGCAACGTTCTGAGTTGCTTCCAAAACACTCAAGAGATCCAGAGGCGGATTAAGAATCCAGATTATGGTCCAAAGCGAATCCATTTGTCCTTTGGGCATACCAAAATTATCCACCAGATTTAATTGTAAAGTATCCAGTTTCCCGATCCTTATCATGATCATAATCAGTTTTTTTTTCATTCCAAGGCGCACAACAAAAAGGATCCAAACAGATTCAAAACAAATTTAGACTGAGAACAAAAAAAAAAATTACGGTTTGATAAGAATCCATTCTCAAATACAGGACTTCCTGGGAAAAAAAAATTAAATAAAAAAATCGAGAGTCTCATTCCTTATCCAGGCTAAAGCGTTAATCCACTCATTTCTCTGTCAACCAACGCATCCACATTGCCTCATTTCATATGAATCGGTTCGGAAAATGGTGGCAAAGGTTTTGTCTTGTTACCTGATTGCGAACCAAACTTTATGCAAATCACCATTAAAACATAATCAGTTCAACATTCCATGACATCAAATGTCTTCCAAATCAAGTCACATAATTTGAATTCTGGTAATCAGCAGAGGTAATTAAAGAAGGGAAAAATAAAGCCCAAACAATCCTGGATTGGCACTGAAATGTAATGGGAGTTTTTTTTTTTTCTCATCACCCTGCCACAAAGTTTTTGCCTAATCCTGCTCCGGCAAAAACAATCTAAAATGTCAATGAAAACGTAAGGTCCTTGCCAAAGGCGAAGTCATGGGGGGGAGGTGGAGGAATTGATGAGTAGAAAATGAGGTTGAGTGATTGGATTGCAGTCGTGTCTGCCTGGTTGTTTCAGTAAAGCTGATTTACAGACTAATGTGTTTTTTTTTTTTTTTTGGTTAGGTTTTTTTTTTCCCACTGATTGACAAAAGGAAAAATATAATCGCCGACGGAGAAAGCAGAATGCTTTTGTGCTAAGAGTGTGTGCGTGTGCTCCATTTAACAACAATGCTAATCACCTTCCCCAAAATGAATGTCGCTTCTTCAACCCAAATCACCAATTTTTTTTCATTCTTGCAATGCAAATACACTCACAATATACAATTAGAGGAAACCGCTGACAGATAATAATCCCAGTGGTGAGCCGGCCTGCCCAAACAGAAGCAATGTCCTACATTTACAACCTCAACTCTTAATACTTTTTCTGCTGAATTGTATTCATTTAATCCCACCAGATGGTTCTCTTCATTTCATGGCGTTTCTCGGAGCTGCGTTGCCACGTTCAATTTTCTTTTGGACCAATCAGGTTTCAGCAACTGTGTGCTCCAATGCTAGCATGTTTGTAGGAATCGGTGTGGAATGAAACAGCTAATAACCAGCACTTTCCCAGATGATGTACTTGGCCCATTTGCGTAATATTCTATTGCATTTTTGTATAGTATCGAAGGTTTCTATAATTATGATGTATCGGTAGTGGCTATGTTAACAGTCGGTACCTTCGCCAGCTGCCATCCTGTCACCGCTTCCTCGCCATTGCACAGTCCCTCGGCTCTCATCAGCTCCTGGCTCCACCCCCTGAGTCGGGCGTCCAGCTCTTTCGAATCGTCATCCAGCCGAGTCGTCCGACGCTCGCACTCTTCCTCGGAGGCGGCGGCGGAGGCGAGTGCACCCTCCAGGCCGTCCCTGGCCCTCAGGGCGGCGCCCTCCCATTGCTCCAGCGCCTGGGACAGCGCCCCCAGCTGCCGGTCCATGGCCTCGCAGCCCCCCGCTGCCGTGTGCTCCGCCACCGACGTGGAGGCCCGTCGCACGGCGCCGAGGCGCTCGCGGCCTTCTAGGAGGCGGCACTCTACGCGCTCCTGAGGGTTGAGAGGAGGCAAAGTTGCTAAGGAAACCGTGGCTGTAGAAACTGCAACCTGAGGATGAGCAGTCAATGCTATTTATAAAGTCCCTTCGAGTGTGAGAGTGTGAGAGTGTGGAATTCAACACCATCGCTGACTGTACGTGTCTGTTTGCGTTCTTCACACCAGGGCTCCTCAAACACTAATTTATTAAGTGATAATTAGGATCCCAGCGTGAAAATTAAAATGTAAATCATTTTGCCAACTTGCTTATAACACACACACTGCTCTCCTTTACCTTTATTCACATTCTAATAAACCAACTTATTTGTACTATATAAATCAGGATGTATTGTATTGTATTGTATTGTATTGAAATGTCCCTAAGGAGGATTTTTTAAAATTCTATGACTGTGGAACTAACTGTTCTGAATCTGATCACATTTCTTCCATGTGCTGTCCTCCATGAGAAAGATTAAACAATCCGTTACTATAGCAACAGATGATATCTGGGGAGACACCATTTGGAGATGGTGCGCTAGGAACATTAAGTCACCCATTAATTTTTTAACGCAAACGGTAAAAATTCCGGTTTCTCCTTCAAATCCAGACAGGAAGTTGTATTTGGCTGGCTAAAAGGACATCTTACCCTCACTTTGTGTAGCTTCTTCTGGATAGAGGCAGAGTCTCCCGACGTTCCGGACCAATGCTGTAGCTCCTCCCCCGCGGTCATCAGCCAATCAGTGAGCTCCCGGACAGCCTCCAAGTATTCCTGGTGTTCCAGCACCACGCTCTGTGCCAGACGTACTTTCTCCTACAAGAAACCCACAAGCACTGTCAACATGATGTTTTTGGTGACCCGAAGTCGGGACGAAGCAATGTCTTTCGCACCTCCACCAAACCTGCCAGCTCATCGAATTGCACCTGCAGCTGTGTTCGAGCACCGTGATTAAAACCGACGTCGCCGGTTTTCTTAAAGAGCTCTCTGGCTTTTTCCTCCAGGCTGGACAAGGCCAACTGGTGGTCTGCCATGTCGGCCAGCAGGGCACGCAGTCTCTCCAACTGCGCCGCCTTTTCTCTGGGCCCTAGCTGCGGGGCGAGGGAGGCGCGCACTTCCTGCTCCACGGCCTCCATCCAGCGCCTGAGCTGGGATGTGTCTTCCAGGTAGCCGGCCCACTGGGACACCGTCCACTCAAGACGACTGACGAAAACACACGTTGTACTTGATAAAAATGTAGTAACTGCATACGCATGGGAGTGAGGTATAGTTTCAACGGGCCTTCGTACCTGTGGCAGCTCATGGCCGTCACAAGAAGCGTGGCCCAGGCGTCCCCCACCTCCCGGAGTTGCGAGCGCACCACTTCCTGTCCGGGGGCGCCGTAGCTGCGCATAGCTATCTCGCCCTTACCCATCGCCATATTCAGTTTGACCTCGCCCTCGCCTTTCAAAAGCAGGATATCCTGTGCAAACAGCCAGGTTCAAAGAATTTGTATTGATGTACTCAAATGCACCAGTCTGGGCAAGTTGGAATTGTGAAGAAACAGCACCCTTAAGTGTTGAACGGTTGCAATGGCAGCAAAGTTGGTCATTTATCCTCACCTGCACAGACTCCAGTCTCTGCTCCAACTGCTCTTTGGTGCCCATGGTGCTATCAACCGTGCCCAGCTTCTCCTGGATTTCCTCTAACCAGGCCCACACGCCCTGCAAGGTCTCCCCAAAGGCCTGGTTCTCCTGGCAGCCTCGGCGCTTCCCCCTGGCGGCTTTGAGCAGAGCCTGGTGCTCCATCTGGAGTCTGCCCGCCGCTCGGACCTCTTCGCCTGACCCGCGTCCTGCTTCGGACAAGCACCGGGCGTCCTGGATGACACGCTCAATACAGTCTCTGAAAGAGAATAAAATATGTGACTATTTAACTGCAGATCAGAGGAAGCTTTTGAAATAATTGTTTATACCGTCTCTCTAAAAGCTCCTTATGGAGGTTTTCCACCCTCTCCAGTTCCTCTTTGGTGTCAGGGGCACCTTGTTGGCTGTCTGCCACAACAAGAGGCTCCCTGTTGAGGCCGAGCCCCATCTGCTTAAGCCATTCCCTGACACCTCCTACGGCATCATCAAAACTAAAGAGGAGAGAGTTGAGAATGCATTCGTTTTGGCAACGGCGTCACGGAAAATTGTTCCCTTACCTTTTGAGGAGACGAATGCTGTCCCCCAGAGCTTGTTGGCTCTGGGAACATTCATCCAGGAAGCTCTTCCACTCTCGCTGGCAGCAGGACAAGTGCTCCTGCAGCTGAGTTGCTGCAGCTTTTGGCAGGTGGAGGCGGAGCCTCTCTGCCTCCTCACTAACCTGAGAGAGACGCTTCTCACCCTCTGAATTCCACTGTGCTGAGGACTGTGTACGTTGGAAGGAAGGTGAGAGAGATTATTGTGGTTGAATTCAATCCAGGAGCTGGATTCAGCACAATATTAAACAGAATCGGAGTCAATACCCGATAGCAGGGGTGGGCAAACGTTTGTGCTCGAGGTTCAGTGTTTTATTATCATTTTTTTTTTGAACCATCAGAACCATACTTGGCCGCGTAGCGTCAACAGAAAGGAAAATAACACATTCTAGTAGTAGTACCTCGAGTTTTTGCAACTTTGCTGTGAGGTTGCAAATGTCTCCTGACCGATTTGAGCATTCGTTCAACTCCATCTTCAATCCCGAGAGCCAGGAATGGAATTCTTGGAAAAGCTCTGCTTCAGGCGCAAGGCAAAATAACAAACACAAACACATGAAAGGGAAAGCTGTAATAATTCCTTGCCACTGTGCCGGAAGAGTGAAGGAACTAGGAGGGAAAAGCGTGGTCCCCAATGCAGATGGCAGGGCGAGGAGTGTCCACACAGTTGCCCTGGCTACCAGGCCGAAATGATTCTCTCGGGAGCGAATGTGACAGGAGCAGCATTACGCTACGAGGCACAGGTGCGTCTCGGTGTTTTAAGAGAGCACTTGTGCGCCAGACAGTGATTGTCCATGGACTGTGTGCCGCTTAAGTGTGCTCTGGGGGAAAATCAACACTAAATCTGATGCTAATCTCGATCATCAACAGACAATATGGGATCAAGTAAGATTAATCGGTTGATTTAAGGGCTCGTTTCATCACAAGCTGCTTGTTGACTTAAAAGTCATTCTGCATCGAGGGTCTATTATGAACTGTGGAGTGGTGTTCTGTCTCACGGTTCAAGTGGAGGTGCAGTACGTCCTGGAGGTTGCCCCTGGCCTTGGAGCAACGCTGGGTGACAGCTTCGGTGCGCTGGGCGACAACTGTGAAGTCGGCGGAGAGACGCGAGAGCTCCGGAGTGGGATGTGACCTGTTTAAGGTGCTCAGAGACTCTCGGGCTGAGTCCATGTCTGCCCTCTGCTGCTCGACAACATCCTGAAGACCCTTGTGCGATCGATCATAAGGACATCATGTCAATAGTGAACCCCCTTTTTAGTGCAGGTATGTTCCAGAGCCACGTGCAATAGGTAAAAATTAGAGAGTTTATAGAGTGTATCATCATAATTATTAAAAAAAAGTCGGACTTTTTCAACTTGTTTGAAGCATTATTTACTATCTGCCAAACTGCTGCATGTTGTGAAGCAAGTTGAGTTTGCTGCCAACACACAGCCCTTGTTTTTGCTTTCAAAAAAAAAAAATAATAATAATAATAATAAATCAGAAGAATCAGTTGCACGGCAGCTTGCATCTGAAAAAATTCGTATGCCGGTCACTTGTATTTCAAGGCATCACTGTATAGTTGACTGTAAGTACACCGTCCAGAACAGCAAAACAATGATCAACGTATTTATGATAAGAGTAGCATACCTTAATAGCAGAAATGTCTTCAGGGGAGGAGTCCTCATTGAGACTCGACAAGGAATCCTCGACTTTTTCGAGCCTCTCGGTCATCCGGGACATGAGGTCGTGCAGTCGCTGCTTCTGGAATGTGAAGTCGTTCAGAGTGCGTTTGGTCTGGGTGAACACCTCCTGGATGTGGACCAACTTCTTCCTCAGATCGGACTCCAAAACCTGTTTTGTCGAGAGAAGACGACAGGACGCAACCGTAAACAGAAATCATCCCTCCCTGCATCCATCCATCTGGAGCCAATGACTTGCGTAAGGCAGACTTCACCCTGGACTGGTTGCCCGTTCATCACACAGCGCACATCTAGAGACAGACAACCATTCCCCACTTGCATTCCCACCGTCCCTTCGTGGAAACTGAACCCACGCTGCCTGCAACAAGGTCGGACTTGTTTACGTATCTTATCATCACCTGCATTTGTAAGGGAATTTCCTCCAGTTTAGCGTGCTCCTTCAGTTCCCCCACTCTCTCCTGCAGAGCGTCCAGCGACTGCTTTCTCTTCTCCATTTCAGCCTGTACATAAAAGTGAATTAATTTTCAAGTCCCACACACACTCACGCAGGCACGAGTCACTTTTCAACAACATTGTTTGGAGTACGAACTGACCTGAAGAGCGACGAGGCGGGCCTCTGTGTCCTTGTCACTCAGGTCGCCGACAATGTCGGTGAGTTCGGCCATGGAGCTGGCGGTGGTCCATTGGTTCATGTCCTGCTCCATCAGTTTGAGATCATCCCAGAGGGTCACACAGTAGCCTAATCTTTCGGTGTTAGTTTGAATTCTCTCGGACGTCTGGGTGGGGGGGGGGGGAGAAAAAAATCATATATGTCTCATTTATTCGGCTGATAACCTCACCGGTTTGTGTTGGTTTGTCTGTGATAAAAATTTGCTGGTTGCAAAGCAGCCATTATAATAAATATGCCGCGAGGGTGTCAATCAAAAATAAAAACGGATCTCTCCTTTCAAAGACAAAATCTTATTAGCTGTCCACTGAAGCTACACAACTTACTGGAGGAAATTTCTAACTTGATGGATTTGATGAATGTGAGTATGATTGCAGAGAGAGATGGGGACACAAGACAACATGTCAGGACTTGTTTAGATTTCTGGCTTATTAGTACGGACAGCTGAGCACCCAGCAAAGTCCCACATAAGAAAATATCATGCTGGTAATTTTTACTCTTTTGTGACTATATTGACCGTTTTTGCAGAATTTCACGTAACTGCGCATTGCCAACCCCAAACAATCCAATGACATCCTGTTTAAATTGATTGAGGGCACTTCTTGCAACTCACCTCGAACCACTGGGTCCTGAACGCCTCCATGTCTCTGTGGATGAGGATTGCGTCACAGTCAGGAATGCGATCCAGTTCTCTCAGAAGTTCCTCCGCCGTGCTGATGAGCTGCTCCATGTCCTCCTGCTTTTCTCTGAGCTCACCTAGCAGCTTCTCATGCTACGACACCGCCAGGCATGGGGGTTAAAATTGACAAATGACCACAGATATGTAAAATACAGGTGCAACTGCAATAACGCGATGTTGCCGTGGGCTCAGGACGAAGCGGTTCTCACCAGCGAGAAGGACCTCATGGCCTCCTGAGCATTGTGGTTGTGATCGGGCAGGTTGTGAGCGAACGCCTTGGCTTTCTCCACCGAAGCATTGAGGATAGACCTCATGTGATGGTAATGGCGCAAAAGATGGAGTACCCCTTGACTCTGTTCCCGACTAATAAAGAGCAAGAAAAAAAAAAAAAAGCTGGAATGATAGCAGCTGACTAATAGGGGAAGGCGATTTCTGTAGAAATCACATGCAAATGCCAAAGAGCTGATGCTGAACTGAAATGCTGTGCAACTGAAATGTCGGAAAGGCGAAAAAAAAAAATCTGAATTTTAGCTCTAAATAATGAAAACTGCAACGGTGCCAAAATGCTAACACCTACTATGCTAACATTTAGCACACTAAGGCCAATTGAGGTTAGTTGTACATCTTGCCCTATTATTTATTTCTGATGAGCAATAGTTGGTGTACAAGCATAGTAGTTACATGGGGCCAACAATTTCTATTTTCTAATGAAAACCCATAAAATGCTGTCAGGCCAACAATTTGTATGCTCATGATAGCAAAGTGCCAACGCCTTGAAATCTTGGTTCGATTTTGAGATCGTTGATCAAATGCTCACACGCTAATAGTTGGATGCTAACATAGCAAAACGGCAACCCAGGAAGAGAAAACTTTTAAGGATTCTACATCTTAGGCTGTATTCATGTCTTGAGCATTTGCAGAGGAAGAAAGTGACTCTCTCTCTTGTATTTTGCACCGACCTTTTGGTGATGAGAGTGCTGACATAGTCCAAGGCAGCCTTGACCACATTCACATCTCTGAGGGCCTCCCCTGCCTGCTCGCTGTCTTTCTGGGCCAGCTGTCTTCCCTTCTCCTCTAACCACTGCTGGGACTGATGGAGGGACTGAAGCTCATCCTCCAGCTGGGTCAAGTAACACAGCCTGGGAGACAGAGACAATGTTGTATATGTCATACAGGGGTTACGTTCCCGACCCGCATTCTAGAGACAAGTATTGCTATTGTGTAAAATAGGACGTGTACCTGTTTTGAAATGCTTGCACAGAGGTCTCTTTGACCACCTCCTGGCTCACTTTACACTGCAATGACTCCAAATTCTTCATCACCTCCACCTTCTTCTCCTTAAAGGACTTCCACATAACTCTGAGGGCTTCCACTTCCCTCTGCCTCCATCCCAAAGTGCTCTGTGCCTCCTCCAGCGACGCGACGAGGGCCATTGTCTGAGCCCTGCAAGAGGTCCTTCCGCCTAAGTCTTCGGAGGCACACAGGTGAAGGTGGGCTTTGCTCAGATGCCCGTCCAACCCGGTGGCCTCGGCCTCAAGCTGGGCCACGTCCCTTGCAACCTCCCCTACCATGCGGTGGAGTTCTTCTGCTTTGGATGGATCCCAGTCCCCTTTCTTCGGCAGGGCCTCGTGAAGCCTGCGAGCAGCCCGGGCCACTGCTTCGCGCTTCTCTCGGTAGGACTTGAATTCGCTCAGACACTTTTTACGGAGATGCAATAGACGTTCGCACTCAGTGAAGGGTTGTAGGCACCCTTCTCGCCAGGCTTGGAGCTGCTGCCGAGCTTCTGGGCTAGAGTGTGGAAGCAGGGCAGACTCTCTTTGTTGGAGAGCCTCTCTTAATGAAGAGCAAGCCTTTAACTGAGACTCGAGCTCCTGGAATCAAAGTGTTAAACATATCTATTAACTCCTAGGTAAGCAGGACAAGAAGATGCAGTGGAACCTGTATGGTTGAACCTGAATTTATACACATTTCCATTGCATCAATAAGGGATTATTATTTAAACTAGAGAACATTCCCATGTACAACAAACGACAACTAATGACTCACCTTGAGCTCTGTGAAGGCACTATCGAGATCAGCTACATCAATCTGAAGGGAACTTCTCATGACAGACGGGAAGTGCTCACTCTTTTGGCTCAGTGTCAAAAGAGCTTCGTCGAAAAGCTCCAGCTGCGACAACTGACACTGCAGCCGCTCGCGCCTAAAACAATATTGAGAATCAAATGTTACGTGTACAGTCCTCGGAAGTACAATGCATGAATCATTGGATGAAAAGTCGATTGCCTGTGTGTGATGTTGCTCTTCAATGAGACGTATCTCTCCTGAAGTTGGGTGAGCTCGTCTTTCAGTTCTTGGACACGAGCTTCGGGTGCAGATGGATAGAGGCACGACACGATATGTAACAGGCCCTCAAGTAGGGCGTCATTGGAGGGGGTTTCAGTCTGTATCTCCTGCGGGGAAAAAAAAACGCAGCAGCTCAGTTGAGACAGCAAACGGTGACACCACAATGGAAAAAAATTCATACCTGGATGCGCTGTAGCTCCATCGTGAGCTTCACCTTGTCAGCACAGAGCAAATCCTCAGCTGGATCACACACGGACTCGCAATCATCCAGCCAGCTTTTCATGGAGGAAATTTCCTTTTCAAATCTGGGGATTCCAAAAAAATAATACATCAAGACACAAGAGCGCATACCCATTCGAGTTTGGCGTTGTGTCAAAAAAAGCACAATATTATCCCGTATTTTATTGTAGCCACACATACACATTTAACAGTTCGGAAAGAGGAAGGTCACTAAAATAATAACTGTTTAGCACTCCAAATACACTCCCCCACTTGTAAAAAGAGTCACTTGAGACGAGGAGAATCCCAAGCCCGATATACCATTTGACAGGGTCGTTATTATTTTCCTCATGAATAAAACAAAGAACGCAGAAGACCGGCTCTTGTGGAACACCAAACAATGGTAACAAAAGCGTGTTATGAAAATAGAAATAAGGACGGCCCGGCTGTGCTACAGACAAGATGCAGTCAAAGATAAGCCATCGCTCATTTGGGGAACAAAAGGGAGGGAGGGGGATTGAACCGAAAGCAGTAAACAAAAGGAAATACAGTGCTCATACAATAGTAATTAGATATGTGGCAGAGAAACAGTCAGACAGTAAATAATAGGCATCAACTGTCTAGTCAAAATTGCTTTTCGACCAGATTTCTTTCGCTGGAGCACCACACTTCAGGTTTTCTGCACCAAAAGTAATAAGCTAGTGAACAATTACAGTGGATATAAAGTCTACAAAAAAACTTGTCCATAAGGCAGGTTTTGGGAATAAAATGTGACCAAGATTTATGTAAAAAAATAAAAAAAAAACAGACCAAGATAGCCTCTATTGTCAGTATGATGGCATTGGTTATTAGCCTCTGTTTGTTAGCGGTGAAATAACGAGTTTCCCGTCCGACTGCATGTGTTAGCAGGGTAGTTCAGCCAATCTTAGCCATAAGTCATTTCATTCAACAAATATTCTGATTATCTTCACGGGAGCTGTGACAGTTTAATTTATGACCACTTTGAAAGATGCTCATGCCTGTGAATAAGTTCAAGGCTACAAAACCTGTCAAAACAGTTGAGAAATATTAATGTTAGCTTCAAAAGTTAAAATAAAAAAATAAGTATGATTTCTTTAGCCAGAATGCCCTTTATCTCATATTTGACCAAATACCTTTGCCAGAGGGTTAAAAGGCTTTCGAATGTTGATTGTTTGTCTCTGGCCTTTTCCAGTAACTCTCTTTGCAGCTCGTGGAGGTGAGGCACCTCTTGCTCCACCTTGGCGCTTTCTCCCAGCCTCCTCAAAGCGGAACACAACGTCATCAGTCTGGGCTTCAGCTGCTCCACTGACTGGCAGACTTCCTGGAAGGAAGGACAAAATACACTCATTAAGGTCACGGGTGAGCCAAGGGAACACGCCGGACTGGTTGTCAGTCAATTGCTGGGTAGATAAAGTGCCTATTTTTTTTTTTTTTTTTTTTACCATGTGGCTCTGTAGGTTCGTGTATGTCTGCGAAGACGACGAGCAAAGCGCAACAGAAGCGTCGAGTTTCTCTTTGAGATCATGCATCGTTTTCTTGACCTAAAGGCAAATAAACACACATTCGTGATGTCAAAAAAAAAAACCAGCCAGTCATTTCTGCATATTGCAAAGAATACCTGCTCCAGGTTATCGCTGCACCTCTGACGATAGGAGGCGCTCTGGTTGAGCTGCCCTGAAAGCTGCTCGGTTTTCTCCATCAGTTCTTGCCAGGAGCGCCTCATCTGGATGAGCCGTGCTCGAATGCACCCGGACTCTCCAGGGGTCATAAACCTGAACAGTGCCTCGAAGTCCTCCTCCATCCGGAGTAGCGACGGGCTTCTCGCTTCTAAACCTTCTGCCACAGCCTGGAGGGATGGAAGGAGTTCGTACGTGGGTGTTTTGTAATCTTCGCATGCAACATAAAACTCCATTTCCCAGAAGATTGACAAGGTTATTACACGGAGATGAATTTTTACATTTCCTTTGCTATTATCAATTTACATACTGTCAGGACTGACTCCATTTTACATAATAGGTAAATTAAACCCAATACTATTTTTCACTGTAGCAGGTTCCTGACTGATGATTGCCGGTGCAAAACATGAATAAAAATGGTCAGACATGATTCATCATTTCGCCGAAAGATTTGATGCATGGGACATCAAAGTTTCCTCTGGATTTTTCACAGAATGGTTTCCACACCTCGACAGTGGCAATGTGTTTGTCCAAGTGATCTGAAGGTGAGGTGAGCTTGATGGCATCGAGTGCTCTCTGGTTTTCATTGATCCATGCGGAAAAGGTCACAGATTGGTCGTTACAGCGCTCCCATGACGAGCACATCCTCTCCAGTTGGGCAACGCTAGAAGGAAATCGATCACTCAGACCCGCAATACTTCACATGAATATAACAATGTCTCTCTAACTTTTTGTTGAGGTGGTCTTGAAGCTGCTTGACTGCTTCCCTGGTGGACTGGGCCTGATGGAGAACGGCAATTTGATTCTTCGCCCCGAGCTGAAGCTCCGCCGCCTCCTCGAGGAGGACGTCTGCTCTCACGCAGCAGTCTTCGAGCTTTATGAAAAGCTCCTTCGGTCAATAAACACAATATTAGAGAAGAAATACAAAGTGGAGTCACGATGGTCATACTGAGTCGTACAAAAACACACCTTGGTGTGGTCCAGTTCACTCCTCGCGCTGTCCAGGTTGTTGAATACAAGCTCTCTGTGGAGCTCAATGGTAATGTCACTAAGAGACACTTGAAGTGTTTCCCAGTCGGTTTCAAAGTTCCGCCAGGAGCTCAGAGTGGCCTGGGGGATCAGAGCACCATTAACAAACAGCGCAACAATCAATAGCCCGTTCCGCCCGGATAATCCCGACTGTCCGTGTGTGGGCAAATTAGTAGTACAAATGATCATGCTTGTGGAAAACCCACACTACCTGCAGGCTGAGCTCCTTGGCGCTGAACTGGCCGTCCGCTTCTCGGACTCGTTCCTCCAGCTCGTGCACGGAGCGACTCAGCGCCCCTCCCGCGTGGAGCTGCTCAGAGTGGGACACCAAAAGGTCCGCTTCCCTCCTGAGAGCCTGGAGTTGTTTTAGGTGTTGCTGTAATGCAGACGTCCCAACATGTTGGCTGTATTTTTGCTTGCACATTACACAAAAAAAAGTGCAAAGGTGAACATTTCTACAAAATGTGAATGGACAGGAGACGGAGTGCGAGATAGACGAGCATCACTTGTACTTTTTCATAGAATTCTGCATTCACACCTGATGGATAAGAAATAGCTCCTGGGCTTCGCTGAGGTCCTCAGCATCCAAAATCCTGCTGATCTGCTCTCCGGCTTCCTTCCCAGCTCTCAGGATCTCCTCCAGAGCTCCGCGCACTTCCTCTCTGAGCTCCTCGAACAAGAATGCACCCGAGCCCTCGCCGCCTCCCTGCGAGTAAAAGGAATGCAAGGGAGGTCAGACCCCCAAGTGCCGTCAAGAGCGTCAGAAAAATCTTGTGCATACCTGATACAGCGAGGACAACAGCTCCTTAAAGTCAGCCGAGAGTTTGTTCAGGGCGCTTTGTTGTCTTTGCGTCTCCACTTCAGAGCTCACATCAGTCAGGCTTGAGAGACGACTCTTAAGCCATAAGAGGCTCTCCTCTCGGGCGTCTCCTGCTTCTCGCAGTGCCTGAAATGAATTGAAAAAAAAAGAACTGGTTATTCCTACGAAGCTCCACATTATTCTGAGGCCACAAAAGTCACACACACAAAAGTCAACATTTCGGAGACTTATTATTTTGATATTGTTCCCACAATTTAAAAAAAACGAGGCCACAAAAGTAACATTTCAGACACATATTATTTTGATATTGTTCCCACAATTTAAAAAAAAAAAAAAATGCCCATGTCAGGGCTGTATTCAGCATGCTCACTTGCACAGTGGCATCAACTTCCCCCCGATGTGTGGAAGATCTTGCCGTCTCCTTGAGGTGTCTCCTCTGAGATGAAAGCCAGTCGGACAGCTCACAAAATCTGCGCGAAGACAAATAACTTTACGGCACATTCTCTGAAGGGTTTGAGTGACGGAGATTTTTTATAAGGTGACAAGAGGGCTGAATAAATGTGATGCAGGGAGACTTTTTTTCATTTTGTTTAAGTAAGTTGAATATGTAAATGTATTTTTTTTTTTAGGAGGGCTGAATAAATGTGAACCACGGGGAGACTTTTTTTTCATTTTGCTTAAGTAAGTTGAATATGTAAATGTATTTTTTTTTACATAAGTATAGATACTTCTATGTAGGAGCACAGTGTAGATAGCTCCGCCTCCTTTGTGGAGATCCTTTCATGGAACTACAAATCTCTCTTTTTTTTTTGAATAGTTTTCAAGTTCATGCACACCTATCATTCCACTCTTTCCACTTATCAGGCTGCTTCTCCAGTTGGACGCCGGTGCTCCTGATGTGCTCGGCGATGTCCTCCACAGCCCTCCGAGTGGAATCCAGCCTCCGATAAGCCGCGTCATTGTCGGGCAACTTCTGACACAGATCCTCCATGTTCCTAATTCGCTTCTCACACGCAACCAGAGGTTTGCGTTCTCTGAAGAACATCTGCGGACAAGAGCGAGGGAAGCGTTGCTGAAGAGCGGAATTGTTTTTTTTCCCCTCGTGGTGTCGTAATCGGTCGAGGCTCACTCGGTGCTGTTCGATCACATGCTCGCTGGTGGAAGAGTCAGATAAGAGGCGGAGTTCTCTGTCCAGCTCCGATCTGCACTCTTGGAGCCCCTCGTGGTGTCATAATCGGTGGGAGGCTCACTCGGTGCTCTTCGATCACATGCTCGCTGGTGGAAGAGTCAGATAAGAGGCGGAGTTCTCTGTCCAGCTCCGATCTGCACTCTTGGAGGACGACATCTATTTGACACTGCTCCACTGCTACCTTTAGACGCAGCAGGTGAGATGGTACCTCGCCTTGGATGGCCTGCGACACACCGTAAAAACCTTTGTGGGCGAGGGTTGTTGTTTCGTTATCACTAGCATACAATACAATACATCCGGATTTATATCGCGCTTTCGCAACAGCGTGCAATCTTAACCACTTTTCCCTCATACGCTTTGTTTTTTGAAGCAGTTCTAGATGAATGAGAAAATCAAAGTGTCCTTTCACCAGTGGACCAGAGACGTCATGCTCAAAATGTGCACACATCAGCTACGAGCTAAGAGGCTGTAGCGTCCATCACAACATAACAACTTCATTACACACGTTTCCCAACCTCTTATGAAAGACTTTCCGACCACTAATTTTAAAGTTGATTTTCCAGCAATTTATGGAGAGAGTTCCATTATAGTGCCATGCACTTAAAAGACAAAGTAGGAGGCTCTCTCGGGTAATTGAATGAAGTATCTATTATGTAACCCCAGAGTTGAATTTGAGTAATTAAATTGAGAGCGATAGCGTGTCAACCCCTCGACCTTCCAGTGTTTGTGCAGCTTGCGGACTGTTTCCTGCAGCCCCCGTTGCTCCTCTTCTGGTAGGATGTCAGTCAGCTCGTCACACGCCTTCAGGAAGACGCTCAGCACGCGCTGGTCCAGTTGGCTGAAAAAATCCTGTATGACACAAGTGAAAAAGCCAAAAAGTTGGGAGAGGGACTTCTTACGCGACATCAAGTTAAAAGGCAAAGACGGAAAAAGCAATGATGTGGGCAATGATGTCAAGGCATCGCCTCAAAGAACTTCCGTAGCGTCCAATCGGATTGCTCGGATGTCACAAAGTGACGTCACAGAGTGCATGATTTGTAGTGCGGACTGATCGCAACATTTGTATACAACTATTTTGTATACATTCGGCAATTTTGCAAGAGTTTTTGTGCTTATTCAGGTCACGGGTGGGCAGGGTGCGATTCGAACTCTGAACCTCAGAACTGCGAGGCAGACCAGTCAATCACTGCGTTGCCTTTCACATCAAATTTTTGGATGTGCTCTCACCGTGTGCTTCTTCAGTAATTCCTTGGCATCCCCCGACTCTCCCAAGCAGTCCTGCGCTCTCTTCAGCACTGCCTCCAAATCCTGTCTGGACTCCTCGAACCTCCTCCTCAAACAGTTGTTGGCCTCTTCCCGCCTCCTCCACTCCCCGACCTCCTTCAGCAGAGTCTTGAGAGGAAGGAGAGACACAGAACGTGTTAACAACATTTATACTTTTGGGCTGTATGATGTTGAGAATTCGAACCTGTGCCGAGCTTTGCACTTCGGCCGTCGTCTTCTGCAGCAGGCTGGTGTCCAAGTTTCGAAGCGCCTTGCTGTCGGAGAGCGCCCTCTGCACCGTGTTGTGGTTCCTCTCGATCACCGCCAGACATCGTTTGCAACTCTGCTGCTGGTTCAACAAGTCCTGAGGACATTTTGGAAATCATCGGATTGATTCGCCCCGTGTGTTTTAGTTCAACCGTGTCATCGTACAAACCTGCCACTTGTGTCTGTGCAGCGTCGGGCTCAGTGTGTCTGCGTCTCTGGCAGTAATACGACCGGCCCGCTCCAGAGCTTGATAAAAGACAGAGATGTGTTCCTCCATCTCGTCCAGCAAAGGGAGAAGGGCATGGCATTCCCTTACTAAGACGGGACAGCGCTCTCTCACCTGGAAACAAAGAACGGAAAAGGAAGAGGTGAGGTATTCTTGAACGAGGTGGGTGGGTAAACCTTTGCGCTCAAGGGCCACATTTGATTTTTAAAATGAACAGTTGGGTCACGTCATTCATAAAAGAGGTAAAAAATGAACACTTACCCGACTCAACTGACTCTTCGCTTTTGTAACGGCAGCGACGACTCGGGCGGCCTCGTCGGGCGGCGCGTCCTTGGCGAGGAGATGAGCGCTGCGGCCGGCCAGCTTGTACTGCGTCTCCATGGCGACAAACTTTTGCTTGGTATTCTAAAATGAGAGGTTAAGGTAGTCGACATTCAGACATGGCGCGTGACTGTCGGACATCAAACAGAGGCGTAATGAGTGCGCTGTCCAAGCAGATGTGGCGAAAATGTCGAGGCACCTCAATTACGTCTGCGGGATTGTCGGTATAATGTATCACAGTCAGAGTGTGATTTTCCCCACCTCCACATCTTGCATAAAGGCTCGGACACCGAGGAAAGACACTTGGACCGGAGCGCTGAGCCTGGCCTCTGCCGTATCCAAAAGTTCTGTCAAAGTCGACATCGCCTTTAGATGGTCTTTTCGCCACTTTTCCAACTCGTCAACTTGGCCATGCTACAATTAAAGAGGGAATAAAGGAAATTAGCACGGACAGAATAGGACCTCGGGGTTCATCATTTTCATTGGATGATTGATTCAAAGGGTTTCGATGTGATCGTATTGGTGCTTAGGGTGCAGGTTTTCTGTGGTTTTGAAAATGCATGACACTGTATTTTGCACTTTCTGGACACTGATCTCGGTTTTCGACTCTTTTGTGGCTACCTGTTTCACCGTCAGGAAAAGCTCTCTCCAGCGCCCATTCAGAAGAAGCAGCTGCTGCTTGAGCTCATACGACACAGTCTCGCAACACGTCTCGATAAGAAAATTCCCTGCGTCGTTAATGGCGGCGTGCTGATCCATCCAGTAGCTGAGATTCCTGAAAAACTCCTGGAACGGAAAGCGTCGAAAAGATGACGAGACAAGCGGAGGCGAGTACGGAAACAAAGAGAGATGGTTTAAAAAAAAAAAAAAGCTTACGACTTAGCAAAAGAAGCAGACATGCACATGAATGGAAACAAAGACGCCAGACAAGTGCAAAGAAGACAGCTCATCAAAAAAAAAGACAAAGCAGCGGATTTAAATGAAGAAACAATGACAGTAATTAGCTGACGAATCCGCAATGGGGATGTGACACCCGCGTTGGCAAGGCAATGCCATAAATGAAATGTCCTCAATGCGGGTCAATGAATTTGTTTCATGCTGACTTGGCGACTCCCCGCAAGACACCACTCGAAAGCGAACAAACGTGGCCCCAGTCTTTTGCGTACCTGCTTTGTGTTTTGCGGTTGTTTCAGGGCTTCCTCTGCGTCCTCCAGCCAGGTTTGGAAAGAAGCCACCGTGGAGATGTAGCGATCCCAGTTGGACAGGACCTCCTCCAGCATGCTCCTCACGCTGCGCACCTCCACGGAGAGGCTCCTCCACTGGGCCGCCACATCCCGCACTAGCCGGGACACCCCCGTCATGCCCTCGTCGGCTGCAGGGAGGAAAAGAGTTGACCTCAAATCTGAACAACCCATACAGGTTGTAAGGTTGGACGTGCTGGTGCATTTGTGAGGTCTAAGGTGAAGCCTCGGGTGTCCTCCTTTCTCTCTCGAGCTGACCTTTTCAGCTCTTGCACGAACCCTTAAAAAACGTAATAACGAAGCCGGCACGCTCGCTCAAGTTTTTATGCCTGGAGACGCGCAAAAATGGAGCAGAGTCCCCAAACTAGCAAATGGGGGAAGTATTCCCCACTGAGCGAGTGGAGGAAACTCATTTAACGGTTTCACCTGCAGACGGCGAAGCAGACAGCTTCACGTTGATAACAAAGGGGGCGGGGGGGGGGTACAGTTGGTGAGATACTTTAAATCATAAGGGGGCACATTTACCTAAATCCAGCAAGGAGACCACATTTTCATGTCATCTATTTCTAATTCAAACACTCAATTAAATCACGACAAAGCGATTCTTTCCTCACCTGAGCTGTCAGCGCTGATGTAAACCTCCCCAGCACTTTTCAATGCCTGGTACAAGGTTTTGTAATTTTCAAAGAAATACTGCTTCTCCACGAAAAACTAGTGGAAACAAGATACAGAAACAGTTTGTAAATCCAAACTTTTGAGCAAAACGGTATGGATAAGACGATTGATTCCAGGCTTACGACATAATCGCGTAGCATCTGTTCCACACACTCTTGTCGGCCGTATTTGACAATCCAGGATTTGAGCTTCGATTCCGCTTCTGTGAGAAAGGCCTCCATGCGATGTTTGTGCTCCAGGAATTCCAACTTTGCCAGCTGGATGCTGCTGGATGTGGAGATGAAATTCAACCTAGGGGGGCGGGGGGGAAAAGGAGAGTTGGTAAATTTCTAATTTGGTGGGTCTCTGAATGTGTCTTCCGAACCTCTCGGCCATGTCTTGTAGCTGTTCAGGGGGCACAGAGACGCCCTCGATACTTCTGTCCTTATGGATCCTCTGGAAGAGCTGCTGGTGACCCTCGAGGCTCTTCAACACATCCTTGTCAAGCGAAAAACCCACAATCAAAACTAACTACACGTCTGTGTGTGGTTTCGGTGCAGCGTTTAGCATTGTTGGTCAACCTTGTGTCGTTGCAAGGCTTTGCTGACGGTTTGGTCGGCTTGCTGAGCACTGCCATCTTGGCGCAGGGCGCCTTCGGTGTGGTGCAGCCAAGCCCCGAGTACATCCAAAGGAGCGGGAAGCGACGTGTCCAGCAGCAGATGCCAGTCCAGGAGCTTCAAATACGACGAGATAAATAGCACGTGACTGACTGATTGTGCGGGTTTACATAATATCAAATATGAAGGCCGTCGACATGACAAGTCTTGACAGTGCCTGACGTGAATTGGTCACGCGTGTTTCCTCACCCTGTTGGAGACCCTTTCCCAACCTTGTTTGACCAGAGCCTGATCTACTGTCAGCATTCCGTCCTTCTGCGTGGACTTTAAGCAATCCTCCATGTGCTTCCTCCGCATTTCCAGCTGCACGCGCAGACTCTTGAATAACTGCACAAAATACATAGCGTGTGCCATGTTGTTTTGTTTAAAAAAAAGAATAATATATATATTTTTTTAAATCAAGGTATTATTTGAAAAAGTGTTGTCACTTTACGCAACTTCAGTCGCAACGTCATGAGAAATAAGTTGTAACATTACAACATTGTGATCGTTTTTGTCTCTGCAACTACTGTTTAGAAAAAATATATATTTTCTCGTAACGCAATAACTTTATTCTCCAACACAAAAATTCTCATCCTATTGTACCCTTTTAACGACTTCGGTCGCAATGTCATGAGATATACCGTAAGTTGTAACATTACAACATTGTGATCCTTTTTGTCTCTGCAACTACTGTTTAGGAAAAAAAAAACTATTTTCTCGTAACGCAATAACTTTATTCTCCCAACACAAAAATTCTCATCCTATTGTACCCTTTTATATTCTTCGCTCGTGCATAATTGTCCTTGACACGCTCCATTGCAGTTTATAGTCATCATTGTAAGATTCCAACATTTGCTCAAAGGATTTCCCCCCCGTGCCCCCATATTATAATTTTATATGACAACACCTTTTTATGCAACTGTACTTCTTTCCAGTGGCTCTCTTTTTTGACAAAAATAACTCTCCATCTATGCCACTCTGAAAACATCCCAAGTGGTTTTTCCGTGGATCATGCTTATCAGGTTTTGATATGTGGCTAATTGGCTGTGAACGCCCCGCCAAGTAAAAGGCTCCAATGCGCAGTGAATGGGGATAGCCCAAACCGCGATGAAAACACAACTTGTCCGCCGGCTTGGCGCAATAAGCCAGACAGACTGGAAAAAAAATGACGGGGCTGTCATCTGATCCCTTCAATGTAATGCCGCAGCAGATTAAGCTAATAATGGCAGTGCCTGTCGCCAGTGCGCCCATTCCAAACCACACACGCGCACAAAGTGTACACACTAACCTGGTACTGCAGAGCGAGATCACCCTCAGTCTCCTGGGCTTGTTGCGTGTCTCTCTCCAGCTGGTCCAGCCACATTTTAAACTCCCTCAGGCTCTTTCGCTGCTCTCTCTACAGGAGGTTGACACAGTTGGGG